AAATCTACTGGAAGTCAGTGTAGGTAGTCCTAGTTTAGTGGCTACAGTTCAGGCTGAAATTCAGCCGTTAAGCGAAGCTGTGGTGTTCCAATACTGAAGCACCTTCATTTGTTTTTAAGAAGAGATTGGACAATCATTGGTAGGAAATGGTATAGAGTTCCTGCTTGAGCAGGGGGTTGGGCAAAAAGGCCTCCAAGGTCCCTTCCAACTCTGTTATTCTGTTGCTGAGTAAAACTCTTGTCTATTCTTACAATCTTATTTCAGCCTTTCTTTGCTTTACAGAGCTGCGAAGGTCATAGGTGCGAGGATTGTTGCAAAGTTACATTTTATTGCCATCATAACTGCAAATGGTCACTAAACGAGGCAATTGCTAACTCTGATAAATCTGATAAATAATGGGGTTTGTCACCTTGCTGAAATTTATGTGCATCTCCTTGCTGAAATTTGTTTGGAGATCTATATCCCAGTTTTGTTTTTGTTTTTTTAGGGTAGTTCTGGCATTGACAAAACTTAATGAGAACAGACTTTCTACAGAGAAGTCCTGTAGATGAATGTTATCCAGGGCTTTTTAAAGCCATTACATTTAAGAATGATCTCTAAGTACTAATGAGGCTGCCCTTATCTTGGGGTAGTGTTACTGTTCCACAAACCTCAAAAGATACCCTATAACAGGGGTGTCAAACTCGCAATGTCATGTGATGTGTCGCGACATATCATGACTTCTTTGCCATTGCTGGCAATGGAGTGGGTGCGGTTTCACTATGATGCATCTGGCCCGTGGGCCGGCAGTTTGACACCCCTGCCCTATATCATTAGACTTTTTCCCCCCAATCAGCCCTACTCTATCTTTTGGACAGGTGTGTCAGCTATGTCCACCATCTTCCCAAAGCACAGAGCACTTTTGACTTCAGCATTCCTGCAGTGGCCACCAAAACTGGGAATGTTTCTCAATGGCCCATGCCTGATATTGGCATCTCCAGTTGCCAGCTACAATAATTGCCACTGACAATAAGTCTACAGCAGGGGTAGGCAACCTTGGCTCTTTTATGACTCGTGGACTTCAACTCCCAGAATTCCTCAGCCAGCATGGCTGGCTTAGGAATTCTGGGAGTTGAAGTCCTCAAGTCATAAAAGAGCCAAGGTTGCCTACCCCTGGTCTACAGACTCTTACCTAGAAAAATCCAGAGAACCGTTAGATGGCAGCAAAGAGAAACAAGAGACTCGTAACTCTCATCTATTGTTCATTTGGATTTTGGCAGCCCAGCTCAAGTAACCCTAACTCAGTGTTTCTCAACCTTGATAAGTTTAAGGCATGTGGACTTCAACTCCCAGAATTCCACAGCCAGCAATGCTGGCTGTGGAATTCTGGGAGTTGAAGTCCACATGCCTTAAAATTGTTAAGGTTGAGAAACACTGCGCCTAACTAGACAAACAATTGAAGGAACTAGGAGTAGATGATCCCATTCACCCCATCATGCCAAATTCTTCATCCTGGCTCATTTCCCCATGTATCTGTGCTTGTTTTAAAGAGCAGGAGCAGGCCAGTCTCCCCTCCCCCTTTTTTTTGGCTACCTTTTTGGCATGAGAGGAGCCTTTCCCACCCTCCAGAACAATACACAGGCCAAAACCCCCAAGAGCACCAAGAAGGAAGTGCCGGTTTTTAGCAACAACAACAACAACAAAAGAAAAACGTGCAGAAAGGAGGGAAGATGGGGTCAGAAGGCAAGGAAGGAAATGGCCATTAAGTGTCTGTCTGCTGCATCCAGTGAGTTTTGATAGACCATCTGTGCCCCCTCAAAGGAACACTCCCTCCCTCCCAACATCTCTGCAATACTCATCTGTAGAGGCTGCTTAACTGTAGACAGACACAAAATGTCTTTATTGTTTACTAAGCAATACTTTTTATATTCTTAAGGGGTGGCACCAAAGTGATGCATGACTGATCAATAGATCAGAGATAAATATACCTTTTGCTCCTTTTTAATAATTCTTCAACTTTGCTTTGTTGACACTGAGAATTTTTGATTCCACCCTTCTTGCGTGAAAGGTTTCCCAACATACAACATTCTTGCAAACAGTTCTCTTCCATTTACAGATAGTCCTTGACTTACAACAGTTCATTTAGTGACCATTCAAAGTACAACAGCACTGAAAAAGGTGTCTTATAACCCTTTTTTCACACTTACAACGCATTGTAACATCCCCTTGGTCACGTGATCAAAATTAAGGACCTTGACAACTGACTCATATTTATGACAGTTGCAGTGTCCCGTGGTCATGTGATCACATTTGTGATCTGACAAAGTCAATGGGGAAGCCAAATTCACGTAACAACTGTGTTGCTAATTTAACAACTGCAAGGATTCACTTAACAGCAGTAGTAAGAAAGGTCATGAAATGGGGCAAAATTCACTTAACAACTATTGTGGTTAGCAACAGAAATTTTGTGCTCAATTGTATGTCAAACAGAAATTCCATTAATGCACCTCTAAGATGAGAACTAAATTATTTATTCCCACCCTGTCTACTAAGCTTGTCTGTCTTTGTTCCTTTCAATTTTTTTTTCTCGAATGATGATTGACAGATATAGTAATAGGAGAAGATGGAGAAGTGGCAGGAAGGTATACAAAAGAAAGATGACAGATTCTGGATCTTTAAAAATAAGCACTTATAAGGTTCTACAGAATGCTGAGTACTAATACAAGTTTTATCTGGAGGTGACCAAGTTCCTGTTTCCAACATGTCACAAATTTCATTATAAATAGGATGGAAAGAACTCGAAGTAGGCCAGTGTGAATAGGGATTAGTAGGTAAAATTGACAAAACTGTCTGCCCAAGCTTTGGAATCCTTAACTTGAAAAAAAAAATAGTAATCAGTCATGTTTGTGGTTTTCTCTCTCTTTCTCTCTCTCTCTCTCTCTCCCTCCCTTCCTCTCCCTCCCTCTCTCTCTCTCCTCCCTCCCTTTCTTCCTGCCTCCCCTTTAACAGATAAATTCAGGCAAATTTATATATAAACAAACTGTGGCTATTACTGCAGGATTGAACCATTTTTATGTGCATCACACATACAGTACAGGTTGAAAAGGAAAAGGGCATTGATTTTACAGTTATGCCTCTATGTTGGTCTTTTTTACTTTTTTGACTTCCTATAATTTAGTTCATAATTTTTTGTAATCTTATAGATAAAAAGGAAATGGAAAAGGCAATGGTTTGATCAAATTGTGCATCTTTATGTTGGGATTGTTCATAGGGTATTTTATAAATTTTAATGTCTTTCTTGTTCTGTTTAATTGTTATTTGCCCTTCACTGTTCTACATTTTTCTTTTCTTTGTCTTAAAAATCTTAAAACATTGTGAAGAAGCTGTCCACCCAGACAGTTTTGACTGTTGAGTAGATGAAAAGCAAAAGAAATAAAAGCTTCCCAATTAGCTGGGGTAATTGGGGATCAATAAGAAATGAAGATTAGAACCACCTGAAGCCTTTTTCAAAGCCACTGACTTACATAGAGATTTTGGCTCTAGCTGTCTCTTTGTCTCTAGTCTCTTAAAAATTCTGCAGATGCTTGTAGTTACTTTGTCAGGTCTGTGCTTGGTTTAAGGCCCAGTACGTGGCTATTAGTCCCAAGAAGCTATGGCAGTTAGCAAATGTTTGTACGGGTGCATCAAACAAAATAATAAAATGTTAGGTCAACTATGAAAGAAGGGTGAAGGAGGATCCTTAGTCCAAAACAGGATCTTATAATTATCATGTAATATTATCTGCATAAACCTGGGTAGATTTACAAGAGACATTCATCTTATCCGAATGGGACTTATGAAGCTGCATTGGGGTAGATGCTTACTCTGTGCTACCCTATAGTTATACTGGAGACCATTGTAATCCTGGGACAAGGGCAAGAACAAGAGATTTATGTAGCTGGACAGTGCAAATGACTCACAACTGGAGCACCTTTGAAAACATGAGACTCATGATTGAGCCTTACAGAATCAGCAGGGAATTGGACTAGATAGAAGACCTGCAAGATCCCTCCCTACCCTTTAATTCTATGAAATTGATCTTTTGCCAGTCACAACTACCTATTTATTTGGGGGCCACATCTCCAAATGAAGAACCTATTTATTTTTGAAGAAGTTGTGTCCAGGTTATATCCTGCATCCAGAAGCTTGTTTTCTCGGGAAGACAGATTATGCTTGAGTCTAATGAAAGCTTTTCATCATGCTAGTTTCCTATTTAATTATTTCATTATTATTAAAAGAATGGTGGGAGAAAGAGGTTCAGCAGGAACCTCCTAGTTTCTCAGACTGTAAAGTAGACAGCAGGAGGTCTGTGCTTTCAGACTCGCAAGATTTTGTTAATGAAGCCTTACAATAAAATAGAATTAACTCTTCTGGTCATGCTTCCTGTCTGGTCTGCCTGGGAAGACTGACATCAGTATTGGAAGTCTGAAAGTGCAAATCTCCTACTGTCTCCTTTATAGCTTGAGAATAGCAATAGCAATAGCACTTAGACTTACTGTATATACCGCTTCACAGAGCTTTACAGTCCTCTCTAAGCGGTTTACAGAGTTTGCATATTGCCCCCCACAATCTGGATCCTCCTCTTACTGAATCAACCTTGAGCCAGTGAGAATTGAACTGCCAAACTGCTGGCAGCTGGCGGTCAGCAGAAGTAGCATGCAATACTACATTCTAACCACTGCACCACAATGGCGCTTGAAACTAGGGAGGCTCCGTTCTGAACCTCTTTCTTCGCCCATTATGCAACTGTGGGCTATATCCTCTCTTATCTGACTGTTACCTAGGCAGCATTTCTTCCTGCATCCTTCAAGGTCTTTCTCACATGCCATTGCAATATACTATAAAGCAGGAGCTAAGCATTCATCACAGAAAGTTGGAGGAAAGCCCACCTCGAAGTGTAGGCAGATAGAACTTTGGAAGATACATTGGGGTGGGAATAATTGGGCATCAATAGGTAAATTTTTCATCTTTTTTTCTTTCAGGATCATCGAAACAAGCACGATTCAGCAGGAGAGGCTCCAGGCTATAGCGGTAGGTTCTTCTTACATTGAATCATCTCTGTACCTGCTTATAATTATGTCCTGTGCATTTGCTTAATACTCAGTGCTAAGCACTTTCAAAACTTTCATGTTTTTGAAATGTAAAGTATTACACTAGAGTTCTAAGCAGCTCTATTAGGTAAATATTAGCATCCTGATGACTCAACTTTGGTTGAATGACAGGGTAAACTTTTCACCTTTTCAGACTGTGGAATCAGTTCCTGAGTGTACAGTTTGGGTAGCTTGAAGCTCCAAGATGGCAGGGCACTAATATTACACTTGTGGAGTCAATTGACCTAACTTGATCCCCAGAAAAAATAAAATAAAATTCAAACTGGAGAGGGGGTAGATTAAAACGATGCTTTAATTGTTATTTGCCAGTGAAAAAACAGGCCAGAAGGCTGCCTGGTTGTTCTATTGAGCCAATAATTGTCAATTACAGGCAGAAAACAAGCTGGCTGGGTGATTGATCCATTTTGACAGCAACCAGGAAGGGTTGTGCTGTTTGTAGCATCTGAGCAATCCCAGTACCATTGGTACACAAGTTCCACCCTGCAGCAGTGTCAAATGAAGGAGTGGCTTGTGTGGTGATGTCACTGATATATAGAGTTTTCCAACCTTGTTGGATTTTGCTGAAAGATACTTTGGTGTTGGATGCTGGGCATTAATGGTGAGGTTGGTGTAGGAAAAGAGCAGGCAGAAGTGGGAGGTGGAGTTAAACGCACCATCAATTTAGAGTTTTTGTTTGCCACAAAAGATCCAAATCTACCACCACCCCCTTGAATTCTGTTCACCCTTATTGAGTGCCAATTTAATGCTGGCCAGTACTTGACGTGTCTGATGTATAGGCTTGAATCAATCTTTTATGTTGCAACTTACAAATGGTCTTGATTCTTTGTACTGGACCTTAGGCCTCGTAAAAGATCCACCTCAGGTCCTACAGTATATAGTTCCCAGTGCCCTTTTCCAGAACAGCGGCTTAGGTCTGAAGAGTTTTGAGCTTCAAGACTTCTTTCTGGGAAAAACCAGTAGGATAGTCCCCCCCCCCCAATATTATAGGACTCTTTCAACAGTTCCATGAAAATGGTATTTGATCAAAATGGCCTCTATGCCTGTTCCTGGTTGTTATTGGGAAGCAGTTTGGAGTCCTGATGTGGTGTGTGTTCATGTGTGAGAGACAGAGAGAGAGGGGGAGGGAGAGGGAGAGAGAGGGAGAGAGATAAAGAAAGAGTGGGAGAAAGAGAGAATGGGAGGGAGGGAGGGAAGGAGGGAGAGAGAGAGATCAGCTTTACTAAACAAATTATGAAGGGAATGAATATCAGAGTCCTTCAGGCTTAATTCCAAAGCTGTAGATCTATTGCCTGCTTTTCCTGGGATCAATAGATGCTGCTGTTTAGAAAAACAAGCAGGCTTGTAACCAACAAAGCAAGGATTCATTCTGACTAGGAAGAAGAGGATGCAAACTCTGCTTACAACTACCCTTCACAAAGTTTGTTTGATTCAGACTTCACTGTATCCCAACTACTTGAGGTTCACAGAGGTAGTTGCCAAATTATTCCACTTTTTTTCTGCTCCTCAGGTATTGACTCTGATTGTCAATGCTGCTAACATCAGATGTTTTTGCATTGACAACAAAGGGAAATGTAGCCATCTTTTACCTTTTGCTTTTAGAGTTAGATGATGCTGGGAGGGGGGATGTGAACGAGAGTCCAGCTAGACCTAGTGTGAGAAAACAAGGTTATTGTAACCAGAGCTGATAAGGAATTGGCCTGGAGAACTGGAGAGGAGACCCCTGCTTCAAGCTAATTGGGGAATGTGATTTATGACTGTTAATTGTAGGAGGGAATTGTGCTTTGATACTATGTGCTCAGGGGAGGGGAAATCAGTTTTTGGCTTTGATTATGCAGTGCCGATATTATGCTACTCAAAATAAAGATTCTTTAAGGTAAACAATGCCTCAAAGTTCTTTTGAAGAGTTTCATCCGTCGGAACCATGACACTGATTCTGAATGCTGCCCTTAGAGAAATATTCTGATCAAAAGGAATGGGTTCATATAAAGGCCATGTAGACTGTCAAGGGATTAGAAACTGCAAGTCGTCCTCAATTTACAACCATTTATTTAGTTACTATTTGAAGTTACAACAGTAGTGAAAGAAGAGACTTACGACCAATCCTCACACTTTATAAAACTGTCACAGCATCTCCGTGGGTCATATGATCAAAGTTTGGATGCTTGACAACTGACATGTATTTCCAACAATTGCAAGCATCCTGTGGTCATGTGATCACCATTTGCAACTTTTCCAGCTGGCTTCTCGCCAACAAAATCAAGACTGGGAAGCCAGATTCACTTAATGACCATGGGATTCATTTAACCATAAGCAAAAAGGTCATCAAAGAGGTCGGGATTCACTTAACAACCACCTTGCTTAGCAACTGAAATTGTGGTTCCCAACTGTAGTTGTAAATCAAGGATTATCTTCCGTTCTATGTAGAGCAGTGGTTCTCAACCTGTGGGTCGGGACCCCATTTGGGGTCGAACGACCATTTCACGGGGGTCGCCAAACAATGCAGTCCGCCATTTTTTTCCCCTTTTCCTTAGCTGTGCTACTCCCTTTTATTCTATTGGCTTTTGAAAGCCAATAGAATAGACTCTCTTGAATAGAGTCCAATTCTATTGGCTTTCCAAAGCCAGTAGGAATTGTCCAGGCTGTCTCTGCCCTGCTGAGCCCGCCAAAACTCCCATTCTGCAAACGGTGCTGCACCAGTTGAGTAGTCCTCGACTTACGACCGGTTGAGTAGTCCTCGACTTACAACCGGTTGGGAGTCGCGGCATTAAAAAGGTTGAGAACCACTGATGTAGAGAAATGGGAGAAAGTGGAAATGTTTAGTTTTGGGAAATTAAAAATACTGTAAGGGAGCACAGCTTCCACTGGTGGACGGGTCAGCAGAGAGGGCCCTAGATAAGAGAGGATTTCTAGGTGATTGCAGGATCTTTCATAACTGAATGGGATTAGTTATTTTGAGCAAAAAAAAAAAAAGAATAAGAGAGAAAGCAAGAAAGGAAACTATCATGAAAAAAAGAGTTGGGGAAAAGTGTCTTCCTGAAACAAAGGCAGCTAATATGAGACTTAGCAGGAAGGAAAATTCCCCTCCAGTTTTTCTCAGAACAAAAAAAAAGATCTCTTAAAAAAGAAAGAACCCTGCAATGACTTTTGCAAATAAAATGTACTTCGTTTACAACTTGGCATCACGAACAGGGTAAAATGGAAAAGCTTGTAAAAAGAAGTTGAACTTAAGAGAAAAGCTGCTAGAACAAGGAGACAGAAATAGAGAACACAATTTCACTCTCACAAAAATGCCTTGAGTTTTCTGGTAAAAATAATAAAGCTAGGATATAAATAAATAAGAATTAAATAAAAACAGAGGAATCCACATGGCAAACCTGGCCTGGGTGCCCAATGAATAGAACCAAGCATACATATTAAGAGAAGAAAAGCTGTGCAGATTATCTGGATATCTCCTTAAAGATGGGAACCCAGAAATGAAAGACTAGATCAGGGGTAGGCAACCTTGGCTCTTTTATGACTCGTGGACTTCAATTCCCAGAACTGAATTCTGGGAGTTGAAGTCCACGAGTCATAAAAGAGCCAAGGTTGCCTACCCCTGGACTAGATAGCACCAGCCAAGATGCTGCTATGGATAGTACAAATTGCTGAAGAAGACCAGGCAGACACCCTGGTCTGGAAATCTCTCTGGACAAGTCAAAGAAACAGATTTCACTTACCTGGTAAGACCAAGACATCACAGCAGACTTGATTAAACTCCTATGGATGCTCAAAGTCAAGGGACTTGCCAAATTAGGACAATGCCAAGGTGCAATCCTGCTTCTTTCAGAGATGCAAGAGCTTCCTTGGAGACCTCAAAAAAGCAGATGGATTCAGAGCAAACAGCTTCTCTCCTGCTGGGATTCAGTTTCAGCTTGTTTCACCCCAGAGGAGAGGATACCTGAAGAAGGCTTCCACGTTCAGACAGTTTCCCCCCCCCCTCAGAGAAGTGTTAACTACCTCCTGAATTTGTCTATGGAGTATCTCAGTCATGGTTGTTCCAAAGGTGCTTTTTCAAGAGGCAACTGGGCTTTCTTTGTTTTTCCTTGAAGACATTTCATTTCTCATCCAAGAACTGAAGAAGCTTCTTGGATGAGAAGTGAAATGTCCTCAAGGATAAACAAAGACAGTCCGGTTGCCTCTTGAAAAAGTACCTTTGAGACACCTCCTGAATCCAACCAAAGAAACCAAGAGGGATACAGATTCGTCCACAGGTGGCCAAACCCGTGCTGCCAAGAATCCTATCCACTTTCTCAAGAGTGTATAAGGCCAGATAACTTTGCAAGCTATTACTGTATATCATGTGTCTATTATGCTATGATAGTTCTTAAACAGTTATATGACATATTTTAAAGTAAATAACTAGTAGAAGAGAATATATACAGCTCGGGGTTGAAGATGCTCTCTGAGCTTGGTTGTTTTCTTATAGACGTTTCATTATCCAACCACTAGGTAATATTGTCAGCCCTAGAAGGCAGTGGGGTCGCTCTCTGTTTATATTCAAACCACCTGTATATAACATCTGGAAGAGATGTCTGCAAGAAAAGCTCAGAAAGTATTAAGGATCCACAAATAATGAATAATTCTGGCCAATGGATAGTATGTAGATGCTCCCACTTTTGAGTTCCTCCAGTTCATTTCATCTCACCATTCTTGTATCCATATTGCTGTTACGTAAACATTTATGCAACACTACAAAACAACAGATTTCAGCATGGTCATTTGTGTGATTACGGATTCTTCCTATACAGCATTCTGCTGGTGCATGATAGTAGAACGACATGGACAAAGAACAGTATAATGTATCTGCCTCAGGACTGTATGGCTTTGCTATGTTTTATTGGAGTACATATGTACACCATTAATGGGAAAAACACAGCTTTA